AAAGCTAGTGTTCTCCCATTTAAACATCACATAATTCACAATAAAACAGTTTAAAAAAAAAAAAAGAATGTAGTGTAGACGCCAATGGTCTGAGTTTAAATCCTACTTCTGCCACATAATAGCTATGAAATATCATAAGGCAATTTATAAAAACAAAAACAAAACCCCACTGCCAATGAGTTGATTCGAACTCATAACCACCCTTCATACAGGGTTTCCGGGACTTCATCTTTACAGAAGCAGACAGCTTCATCTTTCGCCCACGGAGCAACCTTTACAATTAGCAGTTCAACACCTAACCCACAGTGCAATCAGGGCTCCTCATAGGTTACTGCTGTTGTTAAGTGGTGTCAAGTAGGTTCCAACTCATCATGACCCTGTGTAGGGTTTCCAAGAAGCAGCTGGTGGGTTTGAACTGTCAACCTTGTGGCTAGCAGTCCAGTGCTTACCCTATAGTGCCACAATAAAAGTCCCCTTGTGTGTGAGGATTAAATGTAAGCATCAGCAGGAATTCCTGATACCTAGCAAAGTATGCAAAAGATGCAAGCTATTGCTATTCCAAATTCCACCCTCTACAGGGAGACTGGTAGCGTAGTGGTTACGAATCGGGCTGCTAACCTCAAGGTCGGCAGTTCAAAACTACCAGCAGTTCTGCTCCCATAAAGATGAGGCGTTCTGCTCCCGTAAAGATTTACAGCCTTGGAAACCCTGTGCAGGGTCACTATGAGTCGGAACCAACTCTACGGTGCTCAATAACAACAACAGGGAGACTATCTCAAACTCCCACATAGAGCTAAGATACCCTTCCATAACACCCTGACTTACCAGGTTATACTGATTATCTGTTTATATACCTAAAATTTCTAGGTACTTACTAGACTGGTTGGTGCTTAGTACATAAGAAATAGTTGTTAAATTAAACTAATAACAAACATATCAAATGATAGCTATTATCCTTCTTTTTTTTTTAACAGCAGTAATAGTAATAGTAATTATATAATACATTAAGGATATTCCGCTTCCTATAAACCAGGGCATCAAACTGGTTCATTCCTGTTAAGCCCCCTCACTAGCCCCAACTCCACCCCCCAGAATTTACACATCTACCTCATTCATAAAACACCTTGGAAACTGGTTAAAAAGTAGATTCTGATTTGGTGGATGTGCAAATTCTCAGCAGGGGGCTTAACTAGAAGGAATCAATTCAAAGTCTTACCACAAATATAACATAGCCAAAATTTTCAAAGCCAATGTGTGAAGAATATCATATAATCTTGAGCTTAAAACAAGGTTTGAGTTTTCTATTACAAGGGCTATAGTCTGAAGTGGACAAATGAAGGCTATATTAAGTGTTTTCTGTTGATTTTATATGGTCCTATTAAGAGAAGCATTACACATTCGCAAGCATTCAAATTACAATAACAATATGAAGGACCACTGTGCACCAGCAAACTGTCAAGGAGACAGCTTTTGCATAGAATGACTCTGAGAGGTGAATAAAAATACGAGTACAAAATGATTCTTCCACCTTCAGAATGGTATGTAGCAACTAAGGACTGAAATTGAGCAAACATTCAATCACTATGCATTGAGAATTACTGCTGATTGGAATGCAAATGTTGGAAACAAAGAGGAAGGATCAGTAGTTGGAAAATATGGCCTGGGTTATAAAAATGAGGCTGGAGATCGCATGATAAAATTTTGCAAGACCAATGACTTCTTCATTTCAAACACCTTTTAAAACAATATTAAAAAATGACTATATGCATGGATCTCATCAAATGGAATACACAGAAATCAAACTGACTACATTTATGGAAAGAGATGGTGAAAAAACTCCTTTTCATCAGCCACAGCAAGGCCAGGGGTAGAACATACCATCAACTGCTCATATGCAAGTTCACACTGAAGGTGAAGAAATTTAAAACAAGTTCATGAAAGTCAAAATATGAGCCATGTGAATTTAGAGAAAATCTCAAGAACAGATTTGATGCATTAGAAACTAATAACCGAAGACCAGCAGAGATGACATTAAGAACATACCGGAAGAAAGCAAAAGGTCATTAAGAAGACAAGAAGGAAGGAAAAGACCAAAATGGATGTCAGAAGAGTCTCTGAAACTTGTTTTCTAGCATAGACATGCTAAAGCAAATGAAGAGACAAGGAGGTAAAGAGTTGAACACAAAATTTCAAAGGGCACCTCGAGAAGACAAAGTTAAATTTTTTTAATGAATTGTACAAAGATCTGGAATTAGAAAACCAAGTGGTAAGAACACACTCAGCAATTCTCAAGCTGAAAGAACTGAGGGTAAAATCAAGCCTTGACTTGCTTTATCAGAGGATTCTTTGAGCAAAATATTGAATGATGCAGAAAGCATCAAAAGAAGATAGAAGGAATACACAGAGTCACTGTAGCAAAAAGAAATGGTCTGTAAGTACTGATAAAGATCAAGGACCACAGCCTTCAGTATGGGTCTCACCTCAGTGTAAAGAAAACAAAAACACCTCACCACTTGGCTAGTAAATAACATCATGATAAATACAAAAAAGACCAAAGTTTTCAAAGACTGCATTTTACTTGGATTCACTATCAACACTCACAAAACAGCAGTCAAGAAATAAAATGGCATACTGTATTAGGCAAATCTGCCGCACAAGACCCCTTTAAAGTGTTCAAGAGTAAAGATTCAGTTTGAGGACTAAAGTGTGCCTGACATGGTATTTTCAATAGCCTCATATTCATGTGAAAGTTGGACAATGAATAATTTCGAAAGACTGTTTAAGAATTGATGCATTTGAGTTATGGTGTTGGAGGAGAATATTACAGGTACCATGGACTGCCAGAAGAACAAACAAATCCATGCTGGAAGAAGTACAACCAGAATCCTCCTTAGAAGCCAAGATGGCCAGATTCCATCTCTCATACTTCAGTCATACTATCAGGTGGGATCAGCTCCTGGAGAAGGATATCATGCTTGGTAAAGTGGAGGGTCAGCAAAAATAAAGGAGAGCCCCACTGAGAAGGATTGGCACAGTGACAGCAACAATGGGCTCAAGTGTAGCCGCCATTGTGAGGATGGCACAGACTGGGAAGTGTTTTTCATTCTGTTGAACATAGGGTTGCAATGAGTTGGAACTGACTCAACAGCGTCTGACAACAACAAAAATAGGCAAAATATTTACTGATATAGAAAATATCAAAAGAAGATGGAAGGAATACACAGAGTCACTGTTATCAAAAAGAAATGGTCGATGTTCAACCATTTCAAGAGGTAGCATATGATCAAGAGCCAATGGTACTGAAGGACTTCTGTCCAATGTGAACTGAAGGCATTGATAAAAGAACAAAGCTCTGGGAATTGACGGAGTACAAATTAAAATCTTTCAACAAACTGATGCAGCACTAGAGACACTCACTCATCTATGCCAAGAAATTTGGAAGACAGATACCTGGCCAAGTGATTGGAAGAGATCCATTCCAAAGAGAGGTGACCCAATGGAATGCGGAAATCATCAGACAATATCTTTGATATCCCATGCTAATAAAAATTTGCCAAAGGTAATTCAAAAGTGGCTGCAACAGTACATTGATTGGGAACTGCAAGAGGCTCACTCAAATCAGATTCAGATGAGGAGATGAAATGAGGGGTATCATTGCTGACGTCAGATGGATCTTGGCTGAAAGCAGAGAATATCAGAAAGATGTTTACCTATGCTTTATTGACTATGCAAAAGCTTTCAACTATGTGGGTCATGACAAGCTATGGATAACATTGCAAAGTATGGCTATTCCAGAACACTTAATTGTGCTCATGAGGAACCTAAATGTAGTCAAAGAGGCATCTGTTCAAACAAAACAAGGGGACACTGCATGGTTGAAAATTAGGAAAGTTGTGTGCCAGGGTTGTATTCTTTCATCATACTATTCAATCTGTATGCTGAGCAAATAATCCAAGAAGCTAGCTTACATGAAGAAGTACGTGACATCAGGATTGGAAAAGGGTCCATCCATGTTAACAACCTGCAATATACAGATAATGCAACCTTGCTTGCTGAAAGAGAAGACGACTTAAAATACTTACTGATGAAGATCAAAGACCACAGCCTCCAGTGTGGGTCATGCAATCTGTCAGGCAATATGGTATTTATTTCCTGGATTTATGTAAGATTGGGCTGCAAGAAGGGTGCTGATAATCTAACTTTGGGTTACTCTTACTCGTGTCAGATGCAGGATGAATTTAGGAATTGGGCCTATTGCCAACTCTTGGTCTTGAGCCCAAATGTATCTCAATGTAAAGAAGACAAAAATCCTCACCACTGGACCAATAAATAACATCCATATAATTGGAGAACAGATTGAAGTTATCAAAGTCTTCATTTTGCTTGAGTCCACTATCAACATTCTTGGAAGCAGCAGTCAAGAAACAAAACAACATATTACATTCAGCAAATCTGCTGCACACCACTTCTCTAAAACGTTCAACAACAAAGATGTCAGTTTGATGAAGAAGATGTGCCTGCCTGAAACCATGGTATTTTCAATAATTTCATATGCATGTGAAAGTTGGACAATGAGTAAGGAAGACCGTAGAAGAAGTGATGCATTTGCGTTATGGTGTTAAGAGAAGAATATTGAAAGTACCATGAACTGCCAGAAGAACAAACAAATCTATTCTGGAAGAAGTACAGCCAGGATGACGAGACTTTGTCTCTCATACTTTGGACGTATTTTCAGGAAGGACCAGTCCTTGGAAAAGGACACCATGCTTAGTAAATTGGAGGGTCAGCAAAATAGAGGAACCCCCAGCAAGATGGATGTGCACAGTGGCAGCAGCAATGGGTTCAAGTGTAGCAACAACTGCGAGGCAGTGCTGTCTTCCGTTGTGCATAGGGTCTCTATGAATCAGAACTGATTCAATGGCACCTAACAACATCAACAAGGACTGAAAGAAGGTCTGAGATATAAACGAAAATCCACCAAAAGGCTGTGGTGTGCATACCTTCAAAATTCCATCCAGAGTGCCTTTGTAGAGGTCTACATGTCCCACGATGGCCCTCTGGTTCATCATACGAGTTCTCACCACATCAACTGGATTGGAGGCCAAAGCTCCAGCCAAGCCACATGTAAAGCTAGAACTAAAGATGAAAAATTTTAGAAGCTAGATTTCTCCCACTTCCCATCACCCGCTCACTTCAACAGAAATCAGTACGAACATAAATAAATGGACAGTAACTCTGACCATCAGATAAAATCTGGCACTTGCTCTCTTACTACAATTTTAAAAGAAAGGAAATGTTTTGTAAAAAGTTGTGTCCCCTTCCCTTTTCAGTATGAAACTCATTTTATAAAGCAACAAGAGCTCTAAGCAGCAAGTGCCAGACATCATCTCTTAGACCTTTTTCAAACCATAGCATCATATGTCAATTGCAGCTAAGTCCCAAAACACCACTAAGGTTGCAAAACAAATAAAATGTAGGATGAGATTAACAACAGTTTTCAATTAAAAAAACTATGGTTTAGTTTTCACAAGCCCTATAAAGTTTCACCACCTTTTCTGATCCTCATGGAGAAAGGTTTTATTTTCAGATCCAAAATTAGGCCCGTACAAATAAAATTTGTTTATTAAATGTATAAAGATGGTGAGTGAATAGGTATAAATCCTACAGACAGCTGGTAGGTTGCTGTTTTAGATGTTGCCCCTGAGAGTACCAAAGTGCCCATACCATCACGCACCTCTGAAGTACATATTTATCCAAGGTTTGATGTTCTGGTAATGGGAGAGAATGTGTCACTTACCAATTCTACATGAGGACTTCAGCGAAAGAGGCTTATTATGTTCAAGATGCTGAAAATATAGGATGGGTACCACTTATCATACTTACACAAAGTGCGTTAAAATTGTGTCTCCCATCATCCCTGACAATATTAAGTGCTTTTTGGTAATATCATAGACTGGGAGTTCTACTCCCACAACGATGGCAGCACGCTGGGCAGTTGGGACCACACCCTGGAAAATACAATCGGCAAAAGACACCAAGAAAATATACAGGTAATGCCATAAACCTGCAGGTCGGTGACATAAGTCAGAAGTTGAAAATCACCAGACTAATTCAAGTGTGAGTACAGAAGTCACGCTTTCAAATCAATGGTTAATACTGGGACCCTTATAAATTCTAAATTCACTGTCAAAGTGACTCCAATTCATGACAACTCATGGTGTATTAGAGTAGAAGTGCATTCTGTATGGTTTTCCATGGTTGTAATTTTATAGAAGTAGATTGATTGCCAGGCCTTTCTTCTGCAGCTCTACTGGATGAATTCAAACCATTAAACTATAGGTGGTGGTGGTGGTTGTATGTTATAAAGTCAGTTCCAACTCATAGCAATCCTGTATAGGGTTTCTGAAGCAACAAATCTTTATAGGAGCAGAAAGCCTCATATTTCTCCTGCAAAGCAGCTGGTGGATTTGAACTGCTGACCTTGCAGTTACCAGTCCAACGCCTAATGCAGTATGTCACCAGGGTTCCTTTCAAGTTACTGGTAGTCAAGTGAAGACTTTGTACTAAAAATTAAATCATGAGCATAACACTCAAAGCACAAGAGATAGGAGAAAAAAAAAAAAAGATCAACTGAACTTCATTAAAATAAAAAAACCTTTTTAACTTAAAGGAAACCATCAAGAAAGTGAAAAGACAACCCACAGAATGGGAGGAAATATGTGCAAATTATCTGTCTGGTAAGTATCCAGTCTACGATCCAGAGTATATATAAAAAAAAAACTCTTACAACTCAACAAAAAAAAAGAACCACCCAGTTGAAAAATGGACAAAGGATCGAAATAGACATTTCCCTAAAGAAGTTACACAAATGGTTAATAAGCACATGAAAAGATGCCCAACATCATTAATCATTGTTGCTGTTAAATGCCATCAAGTCAGTCCAACTCATAGCGACCCTGTATGGGGTTTCCAAGGAGTGGCAAATGCAAATCAAAACTACATTGAAATCCCACTTCACACACACTACCCACTGCCAGCAAGTCCATTATGACTCATGTTGCTGTTTTTGCTGTTAAGTGCCCAGTGACCCTGTATAGGGTTTCTGAGGAGCAGCTGTTGAACTTGAACACTTGACTTTGTGGTTCATTGACTTTGTGGTTCACATTAACCCACAGCACCACACCAGGACTCCTCCCTATACAGGATTTCTAAGACTGTAAATCTTTATGGGAGCAGACAGCCTCATCCTGAGGAGGGGCTGGTGGGTTTGAACAGCTGACCAGGGCTCCTTAACACACTAGCAGGGCTCTGATAAAATAAATAAAGACAATAACAAGTGTTGGGCAGGATGTGGAGAAATTAGAGCCTTCATACGAACCGACTGGAAGGCACTTAGCAATACCAACACACTGCTAGTGGGAATGTAAAATGGTGAAATGGTGCAGCTCAAGTGGCTGCTTCCACAAAATGCGAAACAGCTTATAAAATGGTGGTAGTAGTAGTAGTGGCATCTTAACCTAACCTCATGAGAAGGCTGATGCCTGTGAGGTAGAGGTTACATGTACCTTCACTCTCCAACCTCCCTCCCTCCGAACTCTCTACTTCTCTGCTGGGTTCACAGCCTATCCTCACAGCTCTGGGGTTTATAAAGGATCAGGATCAACAGACTCCAAACTAAGAATCAGGATCAGGAAACAAGTAAGCAGTCTCCCTTCTTCAGTGAGGACAACTCTCTTGGCTGCTCTCAGCCCTGAAGACAGGCTCCTCTAGGTCTGCACTGTTACCATCATCTCTGCTGCTAGGCCCCTTATGGGTCTGTTGCCACTGGATGCCTTCTGGGCCTCTTACTGTCTTCAGTGTTAGAGCCCTTGATCAGTGTTGTAACTCTTTTAGGAGGTTCTTTGCCTCCTTTCTCTCTGCTGATTCGTTTAGCTTTCTTTCCTCTGCTTTTTCCTAATGTTTCTCTTCTTGCTTCTTTGGGTCTGCTCCAACCTCTGTGGAACTGGCTGCATATATACGATGGGGCTTGAAACAATTCTCAGAAAAATGAAACTCAAAGATAATGAAATGATTTCCACAAACTTTTTAAGCCCTCACATATACACAACTCCATGTCAATTTCAAGCCAGGGTCCCTGGGATAAGGGGAAGAGAAGTTGACCAAACCACTCTTAGTAAGTCACAGGCACTTCATTTGCATATACTTCTTTTGCATAGTAAGCTATAACTCACCACATTTGCATAGTCCATTGTCCAATCCCTTCCTGGTACTGGTACATACCAATCACAGGGCAGGATGCAGCCCCAGACTAGACAAAAAATATCACTGACAACTTACCCTGGAAATGTCAATCAACCAGAACGAAAGCAACAAACTCTCTGTAGTAGAGAACTAAAGCAAAGGTAACTCCTCGGGGTTTAGGGGGGAAATCTGCCAAACTATTTTTCCAAAGAACCAAGGCACTGTTAATGATGACAAAGAAAAAATTCTTCAGCACAACTTTCCTGGTCTTTTTCCTCACTATAGTAGTTTTCAATTTCCTCAAAATTTCTTCATAATAAGCCCCTGTAATGAAGTGTCAGACCATAGAAGAATCGATATATTGAATTTCTGTGTTAGGTAAGAATATTAAAAGTTCCATGGACTGCCAAAAGAACAAACAGATCCTCTCCAAATCTTCCACCTGTTGCATTCCGTTAAAAAGGATGCCCTTCACAAAAGACGTACTTTGGTGAACAGTAATGTCACAGAGTCCAGATTCAGGCTACAGACAAGTTTTGAGTGGTCCACACAGTGTTTCTAGAAGACTAAATTTGTTGTCAACATGCAAAACATGAGGTTATTTTAGCCCCAAATACAGATTTCTAGCTTCTCTTGGGAGTCCAGAATATTTAGCAACACTGGGTTCCTATCAGGCATGGCAGCAGCTGTCGCCTTTCAACAGAACTTGAGCTTTTCGGTGTCCCACAGCCTCCAGAACTCGAGTGGATCCCCAGCTCTGAGACAAGAAGCCCTCTACGCTGTGTCATTATACTAATGCCATTTTCTTACAATGGAATTAGAAAGAAAGTGAAATGTTTTTAGCACCCATGTCATTATCAAAGCAGGAAAATAAGATATAGGCTGGGAGGAACCTGTGTTTGAAGAAAAATGTGCCATATTTCCTGTGGAAATAAAAGATAGTCCTGTGTTCCTAATATACAGACAAAACATGTCTGTATTAAAAGAATATATAATACAGTACGCTTCAATTCTTTTTACTATGTGTCTGGATCAGGCATGTAGCCAAGTATAAAAGTAGCTATGGTCCCCTGACAGCATCCCCAGTTCTACGATTTGTTGTCTTTTCCTTGACCTCAGTTTGTAAAACTCTTCTAAGTTAGTTCCATTTTCTGGTTTTGAATTAGAATAACCATGAAACTGTGCTCTGCTGTTACCAAAATGCAAGTCTCGCAAATCATTAATGGATGCTAAGACCATTAGATGTGGTGCTGTAGGATAAACACTGAACCGCTAACTACAAGGTCGGCAGTGCAAACCCACCAACTGCTCCTTGGAAACCCTATACAAGGTCGCTATGAGTCAGAACTGACTCAGTGGCACTTAACAAGAACGACAAGACCATTAAGTTAAAAGTTATTAGGGGGGAAAAGTTATTAGGGGCAGAATATATGCATGTTGCTAGATTATCATCCCACAGGTAATTTGCTAGCTGTAAAGGAACAAAACATATGTTTCACAATGGAGTAATCTAGTGAACATCATCTTACCAAGTATTCAAATTTGGAAACACTAATCATGAGACAATCTAGCATTATTATGTGCCTCTCTCTTCTTGATGCGGAATACTGCGCTGGACTTAAAGGTTGGTTTTAACCGCAAGTAGGCGGTTCAAACTCACCAGCTGCTCCTTGGAAACCCTACACAGGGTCACTATGAGTCGGAACTGTGACGTGTTATTAAGTATACAGTATGAAGTATCATCCATGAAGTTCTCCTACCAAAAATGTTTAACATGAATCTAATGAAGTCAATGAACCTAACTTCAGAATAACAGAAAATACAGGGAATAAAAGAACAAGTTAAATACCATAAATTCTCTATAAGACAACAGGCCTGGTCTCATCTGCAGAGGAAACCTGAACAGCTAATATCGAAATATTAGATAATATGGATTTATTGCTAATTTTCTTAGGTATGATAATGGTATGATGATGTACAACAGGGGTGGGAACTTCTGGACTGCAGGCTATATAAGGCCCATGAAATCATTTGGTCTAAGCCTGCCAAGGCTCCCGCAGTTCCAGCCATCACATTACGGGTGAGTTAACTAAATGTTAGACCAAATATAGCAGGCTAATTTTTAAACTGATAATTTTGTACAGCTTGCAAATACTGTAATACATTTTGGCAGAACAAATGTTCCCCTCCCCTGATGTAGAAGAATGTCCTTATTCTTAGAGGGGGAAAAAAAAGAGAGCGATAGAGAGAGAAACAAACATAGATAAAGTAAATGTAACAAAACTTTAATAACTATTTAATCCAGGGTGATGTGTTTATTGTTCTATTCTTTCAACTTTTCTGTATGCTGGAAAATTTTTGTAGGAAGAAGTTGTGGAAAATTTATAAAAGAAGGGAAAAAAAAAAAACCCTCTCTGATATTTAACTCTATTAAAGCATTTTCCATTCTAATCTCCAGATTTTCCTCATAGTCTTATTTAAGATTATGTTAAATGATTAAAAGGTATAGGATGAACAGAAGGCTGAAAGATCATGTGACAAAATGTTAACAGTGATTATCTCTGGTGGTAGGACTACTGACTTTTTAGTTTTCTGTATTTTCTCAATACTGTATAGCATTTTTTTAACTTTGTATAAGGTGAAAAATTGTTCAAGTTAACACCATAAGCACTTCAGAAACTATCATAGTATAAAACTGACAAAAATCTATTGAGGAACTAAACCCACTGTGAATTTGAACACATCAAGATGACAATGTCAAATAATTTAATTACTTCTCCTATGCACACAATTCCCAAATATTAAGCATAAATCAAGACCCCTGAGAAATTTGGTCTTTTCACAGGTAATGAGGAGTCTACAGGTGGCATGAATAGTTAAGCACTCAACTAGTAGCCAAAATGTTGATGGTTCAAATCCACCTAGAGTTGCCTTAGAAGATAGGCCCTAGTGATCTGTTTCCAAAAGTTCATAGCTTTGAAAACCCTGTGGGGTAGTTCTACTCTGCACACCTTGGGTTGACATGAGTTGGAATCAACTCATCAGCAAGTAACAATAACAAAGGCGCTGAGGAGCTGCTTACCTTATTTTTTGGATTCCCCAAGAATCGTATATAAGATGGCATAAGATATACAATTTTATGGCTTTATTTCAAAAGTATTCTTTACAAATTCTAGGAGCTGAAGAATACAGAGAATTACAAGAAAAGAACACTCACCCTCCACAGACCTCTGGTGCCTTCTTGCTGGTAGATATCGATGAAGCTGCCAATCATGCTCCCTTGAAACAAGCTTCCTTGAGCCTGCATTCGAATCTAAAGAAAGAAAAGGCGACTATGTTGTTTTGACAGAGAGAACCAACATGAGATGCTTCAATTATTTTCTAGCCTCGGTGAGTACGTCTTCCTTTACCCGATTTTTATTTCCAACTCCAAAACTAATGACCTCAGCATGAAGAATCTGAGGCTGATGAAAATCATCCTTAAAAAATTCAAAAGTAATGTAAAGGAGTCCATAATGAAGTCAATATCAAAATGCTAACTAAAGACAGGATCCAACAGAACCTTGGATGGAAGGAAAGAAACATTTCAGACACTGGTAATAAAAGAGAAGCCCACAAAGGAAGTCAAGAAATAAAAAAAGTAGGAGAAGAATCAAAACTAAAGGAGATTTCAAATAAGAGGAATTATTCACAATAGGCAGAGGCATATAGGTATGGCAGGGATAGCACATGCTCAGGGGACGCCACTGAGCATTTCTATTAACCACTGTAGTTTCTCTCACCAGGTATGAGAACATTCCGCAAGTTAAAACTAATATGTTCATATTTGAGAGTCAGGGATGGATTACCCCAAAGCAAGGGAAGTGCATGCTTAGGGAATCAACAGAGCAGAGGACCCAGCTGTCCAAAGCAAAGATCCATGGATGCCAAAAAGACAGGACACAAGGTAAAGTGAGCACCATCATTTCACTAATGAATTTCACTAAATGAAATTTCACTAAGTGAAACGGATACTAGTTCCAGTGTGTGAGAATATGCAAGCTGGAAACAAAGTTCATGCAGAGTCATGGGTTTAGCTACAAACTTTAACCTCATCGCTGACATCTGTCTCCTATAGTCCCTTCCTGTGTAACTGAAACTTGGCAGTTCTCCTGCAAGTATATTATTTCTTTTGTTTACATAATAAACAAGAGGTGGGGTGGGCAGTCAAGTCTAACTCTTGCTACATTCACCCAGTTCGCAACTGGACCCAACACAAATGGATACTGGACAAGGACAGATTATATTAATAGATGATAAGTTTGTGAACCATATCGTACATCCACGTATGATGATTAAGTAACTCCAACCACTAAGGCCAGCAATGATTTTTTTTTTTGCCATGATACGAATACAATGGTATGTTCCTGCAAACATCAGAAACTCCAGGGCCAGATGATACACAAAAGAGAGGGCACTCGACTACGTCCTCGTCAACCACTGCAATGAATTCAATCACGTTACCTTCTACCATGTATAACATGTTCACATGCAGAGTAAGTTTTGTAAACAATAATATGTATAACTTTAACATATGTTTGCCATACACATGAATGCAATCTAGAATACATTTATTTTAAGACTAACATGAGTAATAATTTAATATAATAGTAAGGTCCAAAAAATACTGAGTATGAAAAACATAAAATGTTTTATGTAATATTTCTGTTCTGATCATTAAATATTATTTTATGATATCTTTTTATCCATTCATTTATAATTTTAGCATTTATTATAAAGCAAGAATCAAAAAGGAAGTTCTTGTTAAGTGCCGTCGAGTCGGGATCCAACTCATAGCAACCCTGTACAGAGTCCGTGTACAGGGTTTCCGAGGAGCAGCTGGTGAGTTGGAACTGCTGGCCTTTACAACCTTTCAAACCGACTTTGCAGTTTACCGCATTAACCGGCAGCACCACACCAGAAGTCCAAAAAGGAAGTATGAGACTTTAAAGCAAAATTTTTCATTATAGCAGATCAACAGAACTTTCTACTGATTGCTGAAACAACCAAGTTCACTGGCTCATATTCTTTGTTGCAGAATATGTAGAATATTCTATTTTTTATAGAAAATGTGACATAACAAAAAATCTTAGTACCCCATTCACTAAAAATTCTATAATCCAGTTCATCTCATTGGGATAAAATGGCATATGCCACTTCTACCTTCCATTCAACGAGACATCATGGAGAGCTAAGACACACATACACCCATCTATACAAGGGGACGCCAAGAAGTTCGTGGTTAAGTACTCAACTGCTAAATGAACAGTGGTGGTTTGACCCCCACCAGCTACTATGCGTGAGAAAGATGTAATAGTCTGCTTCAGTAACAATTATGGCCTCAGAGCAGTTTGGCAAGACCTGGGGACTCCTGGGCCCCAGAGTCAGTGACATAGCCACAGAGGACTAGAGTGGAGAGTGAAGCGTCCAGCTGATAAGAAGAGAGGGCATATGCACAAGAACACCCAC